CAGTCTCTGTCCTGTGCTTACATTCAAGAGATCAAGCAAAATGCTAAACACATGGGCCCAGGCTCAGTGTTTAGGCTAAAATGGCCAAATGCGAGGCAGCAGCATTTAATTTAATCTCCCTTAGTGAAACCGCATGGCGTTGTTTACACTGATGATAACTGTGTGTATACGTATATGCCTGGGAGTGTGTGCGGAGAGCTGCAGGACTCACTGTTCCCTTTTTGTAGAGCCAGAGCAGCCACAGTATGTGTGTGTGTGTGTGTTTATGTCAGCATGATGGAGGAGAAGGGAGTTACTCAGACCTAATGAATCCATCTGCATTCAGGGGACATTCTTCCTTTCGTATGCAGACGGGAGCAAACAAGCAGCGACCTGGGAGTCCGTCCAGCAGTGTGGGGAGGTGTCTTACACTTCATATTTCCAAAGCATACTGACAAAGACATATGAAAAAAAAAAAAAAAAATACAGAATTCGCCTGATTAATTTTTTTCCTTATAAAATCCGGAGCGTTTTCAGAACGTTGTTGAGGTCGTGAGCTGTACAGTCAGTCAAACGCTTGTCTGTTCTGTACAGTACTGCTCCTTGCTTCTTTTTTTTTTTTTTTTACAGTGAGGAGACAGAGTGCAGCTAAGGAGGGGGTTTGGGACTACAGTACAGCATGTGCTCCAGGAGAGTGGCAGCTGCTGATGTCCTCACCTCTGGGTGACCTGGCACCCTGCGCAACCTCCATGAAGAATGAATGGAGGGCAGGAGGCGGGGCCATAAAGAGGAGAGGGGTAGTTGGTGTGGTGTGTCAGGTCATTAGGCTAATGAAGTCAAAGCTGAGCAGTGTCTGGGAGACCTCTAGTGGTTTAAGACTAACAAATATTCACAGTAGTGGTTAAAATGAAATATATTATCACACAGCAAGCACAGTACACTAAGAAGTCAAGAAGGACTTTTTAAAATCAATGACAAACTCAATAATCCTGTTTCTATTGCTATATTTTCATCCTTCTAACTACAAAAACAACAACAACAACAAAAAAAAACTGTGTAAAATCTGTTCTTGGTTTTATGCACCATCACTATGAGTTCAGTTAAACAACAGCAAAATATTGGGTCAAAATATTTCAATGACATTTTTAAATCATTGTATTTTTTTTTTATTTTTTAGGTTTATGTCTTTTATACATCACATACACCTGTATGTGATGTATAAAATCACATATGTATGGTCATAAAATGAGAATATCATGAAAAAGTTGATTTATTTCAGTAATTCCATTCAAAAAGTGAAACTTGAATATTATATTCATTCATTACACACAGACTGATATATTTCAAATGTTTATTTCTTTTAATGTTGATGATTATAACTGACAACTAATGAAAACCCAAAATTCAGTATCTCAGAAAATTAGAATATTACTTAACACCAATCAAAAAAGGATTTTTAGAAATGTCGGCCAACTGAAAAGTATGAACATGAATAGTATGATCATGTACAACACTCAATACTTAATTGGAGCTCATTTTGCCTGGATTACTGCAGCAATGCGGCGTGGCATGGAGTCGATCAGTCTGTGGTACTGCTCAGGTGTTATGAGAGCCCAGGTTGCTCTGATAGTGGCCTTCAGCTCTTCTGAATTGTTGGGTCTGGCATTTTGGAGTTACGGTCAGGCAAGTTTGCTGGCCAATTAAGAACAGTGATACCATGGTCCTTAAACCAGGTACTGGTAGCTTTGGCACTGTGTGCAGGTGCCAAGTCCTGTTCGAAAATGAAATCTGCATCTCCATAAAGTTGGTCAGCAGCAGGAAGCATGAAGTCTCTAAAACTTCCTGGTAGACGGCTGCGTTGACCTTGGACCTCAGAAAACACAGTGGACCAACACCAGCAGATGACATGGCACCCCAAACCATCACTGACTGTGGAAACTTGACACTGGACCTCAAGCATCGTGGATTCTGTGCCTCTCCTCTCTTCCTCCAGACTCTGGGACCTTGATTTCTAAAGGAAATTCAGAATGTACTTTCATCAGAGAACAACTTTGGACCACTCAGCAGCGGTCCAGTCCTTTTTGTCTTTAGTCCAGGCGAAATGCTTCTGACGCTGTCTCTTGTTCAAGAGTGGCTTGACGCAAGGAATGTGACAGCTGAACCCCTTGTCTTGCATACATCTGTGTGTGGTGGTTCTTGAAGCACTGACTCCAGCTGCAGTCCACTCTTTGTGAATCTCCCCCACATTTTGGAATGGGTTTTGTTTCACCATCCTCTCCAGGGTGTGGTTCTCCCTATTGCTTGTACACTTTTTTTCTACCACATCTTTTCCTTCCCTTCTCCTCTCTATTAATGTGCTTGGACACAGAGCTCTGTGAACAGCCAGCCTCTTCAGCAATGACCTTTTGCCTCTTCCCTCCTTGTGCAAGGTGTCAATAGTTGTCTTTTGGGGTGGATGTGGCTGGGTGGTTGGAGCAGGCGTCCTACAATGCGAGAGTTGGGGGTTCGAGTCCACCAGCAGTCACATGCTGAAGTGTCCCAGGGCAAGACACTGAACCCCTCATTGCCTCTGATGTGTGCCCCATCAGTGTATGAATGTGGTAAAGCTCTGATTAGTCTCATTAGAATGATTTGTTCAATTAGCTTTGGGGTTTTTATTAGTTGTCAGTTATAATCATCAGCATTAAAATAAATAAACATTTGAAACATATCAGTCTGTGTGTGAATATAATATAGTATATATTATAGTTTCACTTGTTGAATGGAATTACTGAAATAAATCAACTTTTTCATGATATTCTAATTTTATGACCAGCACCTGTAAAATATTTTTCCTTTAAGCTGTAACAAGAGAAAATTTGAGAAACATGAACATTTATAAATGCAGAGCTATACATTTTTTTCTTAACACTGACTAGATGATCATGCAACTATCTCACTTTCAGAAAATTTATCTATTTTATTATTATTTTTTCAAAAAACAACTGACATTAGGCACTTCCAGCTTCTTTGCACTTTGAAGTCAGGGAATTATACATTTAAGGTATTTATTACATTTTCATAATCATTTAAAACAACACCTGACAATAAAAACCAAAATATTCACTAGTTACAGCACTAGTTAGTAAAGGTTGTGTAATTTAAATATGATTAATACAACAAACTACACTCATGGTTAGTTTTTAACTACCGTATTTTCAGACTATAATGTGCATGGGATTATAAGGCACATGATGTGAAACAAAACAGTCAGAGAAGTCAAATTTTATTCAACTCATTCACAATAACCACATAAAATCAGTTCGAGGTCAGTAAGCACAACCAGAATTAATACATAAGGTGCACCTGATTATAAGGCTCACTTTTGATTTTTGAGAAAATTAAAGGATTTTAAGTGTGCCTTATAGTCCGAAAAATACGGTAATTATTTTTTCATGTATTTCCCTTTTTATTGCACGTAATTGTATTTTTTTATTTCTTTGTTCTTAACTATTTCTTTTTGAATCCTTGTTTCATAGTATTTTAAAAGGTTCATCCACAGACAGAAGCCAATGAGCATTTTGCTACAAGTACTTTATCAACACCAGAAAATTGTTTTTGACATCTGGCCATTGCCTCTTTAATAAATAAGCCTGAAAGAAATATGTTGCGAGTGGGAAACATGGTTTGTTAAAAAAAAAAAAGTTTAATGTACTTCTCAATCCAGTTCATGGAGTGATTTTTGTAGAACGGCTTGGATGAAGAAGTAAAAATATTGCACGGTTCAAGGGAAAATATAAATATAAAAATAATATGTATAAAAACTAATGAGACAAGCTGATGTTAATCCCACTGTTAATTCATTAATCTGTGTGTAGGTGTATGTAGCTATGCATGTCTACATGTATGTATGAGTATTTATGTATTTATTGACTCACTGGAGAAGCTTTTGCTTCTTCCTGCTCCCCTTTCCAACATTTTTGTTTTATTTACAGAACATTTTGCTGGAAATATTTAAATTTGTTTTTGTTTCGATAAAATTTTAACTGTTCGAAATGAAATAAAGAAAAAGAGTTTGGTTTCACTGAACTATAGTGATCAATGCTGCATATTTAAAAATAAATAAATAAATAAAAGATATCCAGCAGCTCCAGTGGAACTGCTGTACAACCTTCATTATGAGTGAGAAGTCTCTGTCTTTAGATTAATAACAAAGACTGCAGAGAAATATGAAGTTAATTGTAAAATATTAAAAGTACCTGGATTACGCAGCGACTCATTTGAGAACCCAACAGACATTTCTGGCTCTGGTGAAAATAAAAATCATTTCCTCTTTGACAAACAATAACTGTAGAGGAAACATTAACCACCTGCACTTTTAATATGAGCAAAATCAAGAGAGAAACGCTGCAGACATCACTGACAGGACTGTTGTTTAAATTGATTTTATATTCAAATAACTTTTTAATGTGGAGCTTTACAAGATTTGTTGCTTTCCGAGATAGAAATGTGTTCATGGCAGTTCAAAAATACCAGAGGAAGCTTTTAATTCTCATTGTTCAGGCTTCAAGTACTTCTATTAATGTTTATATTTGAGCCAATAAGAGTAACACTGGAAAGACTTCTTGTTAAAACAACTCATCACAGCTATTTATTTATGTAGTGATAATGTACACATTGGATCCACAAGCTTCACTAAATAATGACCCTGTTTGTAAAAATGAAGAATGATGTCAATGATTAAAGATCAATAAACTCCTAATTTGATTATTTAACCAAAACAGTTCATCAGAGTCTGTAGTGAAGTAGAAAGTGTTTGCTTTAAACCTCCTGCTGCTCCTGGGTCGATGCCTTTTTATCTGAGAACCCTCCTCTTCATGTGATTTTAAAAACTTCAGGGAAAAACTAAAGTTTTTCCATCCAGCCTAGTTTTTAATTATAAAAATCGAGCCAGATGTTTGCTCTGCCTCGCTGTCCTTGCCTCAGACTTGCACTGATCAGCCATGAAGGATGAATCCTCCTCAAAAAGTGAACTTAGTTCACTAAGAAGATGATTTAGAGAAAGCTTTGACCAGCAGGTCAGCTGCCAGTCCTGGAGAGAGGTCTCCTCTGGTGACCTGCTCCTCAAGGTGGGGCAGAGCTCCCTTGACTCTCGGGTGATTATGGAAATGACTGAGAACATTCTCCTGGATCAAACTCCACATCCAAACTTTCTGCTGGTCCCTCCGACGGCTCTGCAGCTCCCCGCTGGCCAACGCAGCATCTCTGAATGATTGCATCCTGGCCCAGACCTCTGGGATCCCCTCTGACGTGTGTGAGGATGCTCGCATCACCTGAGGAGGAGGTTTGGATGTGTGAAATAAAAACTTTACTTCTCCAGCAGTCAGTGGATGTACACATACAACTGGACGACAGCTAACAGACCTTAGCAAACACACACACGGACAGTCATCCTCAACAGCAGTGTTTCCCCTACCATTATACAAGCGGGGTGCCCCACCCCGTCAACAGAACTGAGCACCCCGCCTACCAAACCGAACTTGCACCCCCCATTCCCCCACCCGGCATTGACATAGCACTAAGCTAGCGGTGTGAAAAACGGTCTCTCTAGCTAAAACGCTAAAGGCAGCACTCACATTGCCTCTTCCCTCATGATGAACGCCACCCGCCCCCGCTCAAAATTTTTGAGTACAAGCTGCGCTCAGACATGTCTCCGTCCCCCCGTCAACAAAAATCTTGGTTGAGCACCCCGCTATGGCAAGTTAACTAGGGGAAACACCGTCAACAGACTGAATGGTTAAGTGAAATCTTTATTTAAAATGTTGCATGCAAGACAGCATCTCATTTGTATGATGAAAACATGTGAACACAGTAAATAAATTCTTCAACCTAGGTTTTATATTTTTGCCCATTTCAACTGCAATCAGGGGGTTTTAAAATAGTTTTTTTTGTCCAGGTTACTGTAACCTTGTCTCTATTTGTTCCATCAGTTAAGGGCCTCCCCACCCCACTCAGCTCAGTTTATGGGACCATCTTGTTTGAGATTCAAGGCGGGCGCGCTGAAGGCTCGATTCTGACATAAGAAGACAGCAGCTGTTGATGGGCCCGCGGAAGTACCGGATTTTTTGCTGTATAAGTTGCAGCTTTTGCATAAATTAGAATGCCCTGAAGAAACGCAACGCAGCGCACGCAACGCACGCAACGCAGCGCACGCAACGCAGCGCACGCAACGCAGCGCACGCAACGCAGCGCACGCAACGCAGCGCACGCAACGCAGCGCACGCAACGCAGAGCACGCAACGCAGCGCACGTAACATATTTGTTTTTTCCCCATATTTATAATCCAGTTTTTGTCTGAGATCTGACAATTTCATTCATTCTGACATGGAAAATATTGAACACTACCATTTTCAGCCACGAGAGGGCCCTCAACTGATATGGCAAGTCAAGTATCTCATTAATAGGTAAAAGTGGCTGTTAATGAGACACTTGGCTTGCCATACCAAGCCACCTTCATCTCGTTCCAGAACTCCTGGAGCAAACATCAAATCAGCTTCATTTCACCGCACCACCCAGGTGAAATGCAGCTGATTTGACCATCAAAGTAAATTTATTAAGGAAAAGTTCAACTGAGACATACCTTTGATATATTTTTGAGCAAACAAATAATTGTTTTTAAGTGTTAATCTTGTTAAATTATTGTTAAAGTCCTCCCGTGCACACTCGCGGCTGCCATTTAGCAGCCAATCAATTTTTGGCACAACACCGGCCCACATTTCCAGGTGGTCAGCGGTGACGTGTAATACATGTGACTTATACAGCAAAGCAACATATTTATGTTTTTTCCACTTTATTAGACATTTTTGGACTGATGCGACTTATACGGCGGTGCGATGTGTACGGTGGCAAGTACGGTAAGTCACTGGATGACCTGCAAACTACACCTGAACCTCCACTTCCTCATTGTGTTGATGGACAGCGCCACAAGAAATGGGCACATGTAACAAAATTCAAGCCCAATTATCTCTGCTTAAAGATTACTGTCTTTACTGACCAGTACTCTACTCTGTATTTGTAAATATTTCTATCTTATGTTTTTTTTTTTGTCTTTCCTCCTATAGAAAGTACACGTGGACCTGCCATTCTATGTTTGTTTCTACTTCCTGTTCCTCTCAAACTTACCAGTGGCAAAGCAGAGCTCCTCCTGAGCAGCTTGAGTGCACTGGTGTATTCAGCTTGGATCCTCCTGGCTGGAACCACCAAATCACCATCCGACTTCGTCACCACCACCAAGTCGGCTCGCTCAATGATGCCTCTCTTGATACCCTGAGGAGATAGTTTGCATTAGAGAACTTTAAACAGAATTCATGTCTACACGCATAATCACCTGAGGCTCTGTGCACAGGGTGATGGAGAGATCCAAGTGTGGGTTTCACTTTACTTGTACGACACAATCATTTTAGCATTTATTACTGACAACTGCTTTGGTGAGATTTAAAGAGAAACATTTTGTAGTTGTATTTTCAAGAGACACAAGTCCACGAGTGAGGGAAGATGGAGCGTGAGATTGACAGATGGATTGGTGCAGCGTCTGCAGTATTGTGGACTCTGTGCCGGTCCATTGTGGTAAAGAGAGAGCTGAGCTGTAAGGCAAAGCTCTCTGTTTACCGGTCGGTCTATGTTCCTACCCTCACCTGTGGCCACGAGCTCTGGGTAGTGACTGAAAGAATGAGATCACAGATGCAGTCGGTTGAAATGAGTTTCCTCCACAGGGTAACTGGACTCTCCCTTAGAGACAGGGTGAGAAGTTCAGTTATCAGGAGAGACTCAGAGTAGAACCGCTGCTCCTCCACGTCAAGAGAAGCCAGTTGAGGTGGTTCGAGCATCTGGTAAGGATGTTCCCAGGGCTGGGTGCCTCCCTAAGGAGGTGCTTCAGGCATGTCTGACTGGGAGGAGACCTCAGGAAAGACCCAGGACACACTGGAGAGGCTTTGTCTCTCAGTTGGCCTGGGTACGCCTTGGGAGTCCTCCCAGAAGAGCTGGAAGAGGTGGCTGTGGAAAGAGATGACGACATCGGAACAAGCGGAAGATGATGGATGGATGGATGGATGACAGTCAACTCCCCATCAACACTGAATATTATTGGATTTTATATCTGGATAATTGAGCATGAACTTTGGTGTAACCTGATCAACTGTCTCAAGATGAAAACTAAACTTAAAGTCTGTGAACGTTTTGTTTAATAAAAGTCTGGTTGAGGATGTGCAACCAATCTTAACGAAGGTTTAAACATTTTATTGTTCTCGGGCTCCTGTAGTTTAATAAAAGTCATATCGCCTTAAAAAGACATTCTCTAAAACGTAGAGGAAATTAAAGTGGTATGAAATGATGCAATGTACAGGTCCTTCTCAAAAAATTAGCATATTGTGATAAAGGTCATTATTTTCCATAATGTAATGATAAAAATGAAACTTTCATATATTTCAGATTCATTGCACACCAACTGAAATATTTCAGGTCTTTAATTGTTTTAATACTGATGATTATGGCATACAGCTCATGAAAACCCAAAATGCCTGTCCCAAAAAATTAGCATATCATGAAAAGGTTCTCTAAACAAGTTATTAACCTAACCATCTGAATCAACGACGTAACTCTAAACACCTGCAAAAGATTCCTGAGGCTTTTAAAAACTCCCAGCCTTGTTCATTACTCAAAACCACAATCATGGGTAAGACTGCCGACCTGACTGCTGTCCAGAAGGCCATCATTGACACCCTCAAGCAAGAGGGTAAGACACAGAAAGAAATTGCTGAACGAATAGGCTGTTCCCAGAGTGCTGTATCAAGGCACCTCAGTGGGAAGTCTGTGGGAAGGGAAAAGTGTGGCAGAAAACGCTGCACAACAAGAAGAGGTGACCGGACCCTGAGCAGGATTGTGGAGAAGGGCCGATTCCAGACCTTGTGGGACCTGCGGAAGCAGTGGACTGAGTCTGGAGTAGAAACATCCAGAGCCACCGTGCACAGGCGTGTGCAGGAAATGGGCTACAGGTGCCACATTCCCCAGGTCAAGCCACTTTTGAACAAGAGACTGCGTCAGAAGCATCTCGCCTGGGACTGCTGCTGAGTTGTTCAAAGTTATGTTCTCTGATTACAGTAAATTTTGCATTTCCTTTGGAAATCAAGGTCCCAGAGTCTGGAGGAAGAGAGGAGACACAGAATTCACGTTGCTTGAGGTCCAGTGTCAAGTTTCCACAGTCACTGGGGTGTCATGTCATCTGCTGGTGTTGGTCCACTGTGTTTTATCAAGGACAGGGTCAATGCAGCTAGCTATCAGGAGATTTTGGAGCACTTCATGCTTCCATCTGCTGAAAAGCTTTATGGAGATGAAGATTTCATTTTTCAGCACGACCTGTCACCTGCTCACAGTGCCAAAACCACTGGTAAATGGTTTACTGACCATGGTATTACTGTGCTCAATTGGCCTGCCAACTCTCCTGACCTGAACCCCATAGAGAACCTGTGGGATATTGTGAAGAGAAAGTTGAGAGACGCAAGACCCAACACTCTGGATGAGCTTAAGGCCGCTATCGAAGCATCCTGGGCCTCCATAACACCTCAGCAGTGCCACAGGCTGATTGCCTCCGTGCCACGCCGCACTGAAGCAGTCATTCATGCAAAAGGATTCCCGACCAAGTATTGAGTGCATAACTGAACATGATTATTTGAAGGTTGGCGTTTTTTTTATTAAAAACACTTGTCTTTCACTGGTGGGATGAAATATGATATATTTTTGGGACAGATATTTTGGGTTTTCATGAGCTGTATGCCATAATCATCAGTATTAAAACAATTAAAGACCTGAAATATTTCAGTTGGTGTGCAATGAATCTGAAATATATGAAAGTTTAATTTTTATCATTACATTATGGAAAATAATGACCTTTATCACAATATGCTAATTTTTTTAGAAGGACCTGTAACTGAACTGAGTGTTAACTTGACACAAACAAAAACACTTAGTTCTAAGTTTTAATAATAATTTAAAAACTCTTCACTGACCTGGAGTTCGTCGCCACCTGCTGGTGGGATCAGAAGCACGAACATGTCCACCATGTCCGCCACAGCAAACTCCGACTGACCAACACCTGAAACCCACAACAACAGCTTTTTATTCTCACCAGCAAAACTGAAGTGAATAAACATGAATATAAACCTCCATCAGCAGATAAATCCACAATACAAGGCCACGCACTGTTTAAAGTTCATCTGTTACTTTAAATATTCAATTTGTGTACTTCTACAGTGAAGAAGCTAACAAGAAGAGAGAACTTTAGTGTTTTTACACTTGTTCAGTAAGTCAAGGCCTTTGAATAATCATGAGCTTGAACAGACCCGAGACTCGTCACAGTGAATAATTCTATCCTTCAAATGCACACTGACCACACTCAGTGTGTTAGTGGAAAAGTGTGAGCAACAAAGACTTAGTGCGACTGTCACACTGTTTTTTCATGGTGCCACAAAATGGGCAAACTTCAATCAATCCAAGATTGGAGTGGCACTGGAAGCGTGACCATTTTATCTGTACGAAGCAGCTAAAATACAGAATATAAAGAAAATATTCAACCGCACCAAGTTTTAGTTGTTTGTTTTGAACTCAAATGTTTGACCGGTTTAACTTTATGAAAAAAAATCCCAAAGTAAAAGACAAAAACCTGCAGCTGAGGATCAGTAAGTCTCACCAACGGTTTCTATCAGGACGATGTCATATCCTGCCCCCTCGCACAGCACGACGGCCTCGTTGGTTGTTCGAGTGACCCCGCCGAGAGTCCCTGAAGTCGGTGACGGCCTGATGAAAGCGTTCATGTCTCTTGAAAGCTCCGTCATACGAGTTTTATCACCCAGCAGAGACCCTGCAACAAGAAGCCGCTGTCAGAGTGTTTGAATACAGTGCTTCCCTGTCAAATTCAAAATCTTACTTCTAACCTACAAAGCTCTCAACAACCTAGCTCCATCATATATTACAGATCTTATTGTTCCATATTTTCCTAACAGAGAACTTTGCTCTCAGACTGCAGGTTTACTTGTGATTTCTAGAGTTTCCAAAAGCAGAATGGGAGGCAGATCTTCCAGTTATCAGGCTCCTCTGTTGTGGAACCAACTTCCAGTTTCTGTCCGTGAGGCTGACACATTGTCCAGTTTTAAGTCTTTCCTTTTTAATAAATCCTACAGGGTTGGCTTGGGTTTCCTGAGCTATTCCTTAGATAAGCTTCTATAGGCTTAGACTGCTGGAGGACAAAGTGTTCAAGTTCAAGAGCCTTTATTATCCAAGAGGGGCAATTAGTTTCACAGTCAGAAGATATAAAACATCCATACTACACAAGACAGTGAAACATTAAAATAACAGAAATCATCAGTGCTCGTTGAGAAGTCTGATCACTACAGGGATGAATGAGTTTTTCAGTCTGTTCGTTCTACATCAGGACAACAGATACCTGCGTCCAGATGGAAGCAACCAGAACTCACCATGGAGTGGTGATCAGGATCTGCCAGAATCAGCCTGGCCTTGTTCACCGACCTCGTCTTGTGTAGGTCAGTGAGGTTCTGTAGGTCAGTGAGGTTCTGTAGGTCAATGAGGTTCTGTAGGTCAGTGAGGTTCTGTAGGTCAATGAGTTTCTGTAGGTCAGTGAGTTTCTGTAGGTCAGTTAAGTTCTGTAGGTCAGTGAGGTTCTGTAGGTCAGTGAGTTTCTGTAGGTCAGTTAAGTTCTGTAGGTCAGTGAGGTTCTGTTGGTCAGTGAAGTTCTGTTGGTCAGTGAGGTTCTGTAGGTCAGTGAGGTTCTGTAGGTCAGTGAGGTTCTGTAGGTCAGTGAGGTTCTGTTGGTCAGTGAGGTTCTGTAGGTCAGTGAACTTCTGTAGGTCAGTGAGGTTCTGTTGGTCAGTGAAGTTCTGTTGGTCAGTGAGGTTCTGTAGGTCAGTGAGGTTCTGTAAGTCAGTGAGGTTCTGTTGGTCAGTGAGGTTCTGTAGGTCAGTGAAGTTCTGCAGGTCAGTGAAGTTCTGTAGGTCAGTGAGGTTCTGTTGGTCAGTGAGGTTCTGTTGGTCAGTGAGGTTCTGTAGGTCAGTGAAGTTCTGTTGGTCAGTGAGGTTCTGTTGGTCAGTGAAGTTCTGTTGGTCAGTGAGGTTCTGTAGGTCAGTGAAGTTCTGTAGGTCAGTGAAGTTCTGTAGGTCAGTGAGGTTCTGTTGGTCAGTGAAGTTCTGTTGGTCAGTGAGGTTCTGTAGGTCAGTGAAGTTCTGTTGGTCAGTGAAGTTCTGTAGGTCAGTGAGGTTCTGTA